ACATATAAGTAGTAAATTATCTATAGCATGTCCTCAGTGTTGGTAATAAATATCTTAGTAGAGTTGATGTGCAAAGGAGCATAAAAGGCATTGAGTTTGTAGAGGCTGCAAAAATGTAAACACTTTGTTCCAGTATTGGTAACGTCTGCGAGCGCTTGCAAACATATTGATTGCAAAATTTACAGTTTCGGTAAAACAAATAATACAAGAAACTAAACTTTTATTTTGTTTTTTTTCCCAGTTTTATGGCATTAGAAATTTGATGTACTACACAAAATAATGTTTGACTTCCTTCTACTTCCTCCTTCTACGTCATGATTGCGCTGTCTCCATAGAGGTGCAGGACTTTCATAAACGTTTCAACAAACGTTTGGGGTTCTGAGGGTTAAATATCGCTTTAAGGCCCCTCAAAAAGCCAGATACTCCCCCTACAGCTGCTATGATGTCAGACTGTGCGTATATTCAACCCAGACAAACTACGAGATGCGTACATGCACCAACAATTTATCAAAAGTAGAAGAAAGTTGGGTATTTTTAATAAACCTATAAGCTCAGACAGGCAGTTGGAGCTGTCAGTGTCAATACAGAAGTCCATGGGTCGACTCTGTGCACATAAACATGAGCGATGACGGGAGAAGAGCGAACGGAAAAGTAGGGCAGAAGAGTTTCTTTGCCTCAAGTTAGAGCAGCGTCTGATACAAAGTAATGGGAGCGAACAGGCGAGCGTAATGAACGCCTGCAGCGTGCACTGGTGGGACTGTGGAGCAGCTACAGTGAGATGGTTTTCTGGGCTCTGGTGGAGCCACCGTGTTTGAGGGAACATCAGGGCGTGACCGCGGTGAGTTGCTGCGATAACGACTGCTGCAGCGTGTTGTGTGATACCTGTTGGAAAGCCTGGTTGAGCTGGCCCTGCTGCAGGAGCTGCAGGATGTTGGCCTGCTGCGTTTGGTAGTCGAGGTGCGCCGTGGGGACCGGTGTGCCGGCCGCCGACCGCATCGCCTGCATGATGCTGGAGGTGACCACCGCCTGCTGCTCCTTCATCGCCAGGCTCACCTCCCCTTTGACGATCCGCTGCACGTGGCTCAGAATAGACTCCTGCAAACTGGAAAGAAAAAAAGGTCTTATCCTCCAGAATTCATGTTATCTTGAATCTAAAAAAAAAAAAAAAAGACAGAAACTGGCCGGCCCAGCTCGGTCTGGCACGTCATCTTCCTTTCCAGATCTTAAAGTTTAAGTTGGCCAACTACTTTCTCTCTGCTCCGCCCTCGACAATCTATAAACTCCAGAGGCCATGAAATTAATTGCAGAGGGAACAAGAGACTCGATCGAATTTATGTTCTTACATTAGCCCGCGGATTAGGCTTTGCTTGTTTTTACTCTCCAATCCATTACGCATCTGCTCGATAGGCTGAGAATAAGGCGGCGCTGCTGGCACGGGCATCTGCTGATATGCATATCCGATATTCAAAATGTCCACGTGGAATATCGCTCGGTGCCATCGGATCAATCAACAGCTAGATTGTTTTAGAAAAGTTGACAGCGGGCGCTTAATGTATACGAGGGGAGATTAAGAAGTTCTTGTTTGCGGTGCGTTTGTATGGACAGTGATACGTGTGCAAATGGACGCTACCAAAGCAGCTACCAACATGAATCAGGAGATAGCATGACGCTGTGCTGCTGTCAACAGGCAGACCTGAGTTAGAGATGGTTTTGTGAGCACTGCATTTGTGATTTATGGAGCTCGAACTGCAGCTAACAACAAATGTCACATTTGGCGTCAGTCAGATTATCGCTGGTGACCAGAGGTGGGTCTGCAGCTATCGTCAAGAGAAAAAAGAAGCAGTTTTTAAATTTGAAGAGCCAATATCTCCACAACCACACAGGGCACATCAAGTCAGGAGCACCAAGGAGCATATTTGCCGTTTTCTTTAATCTTCTTGTGGTTGTGCATCAGGTATTCATCCACCAACTGTCAGAAAGTGGTGATTATGCACAGGTTTTTTTGGCACAACAACCCAAATAATGCTCTTCACTCGCCCTCCTGGCCAGATTTGCCTCCTTGTGACTTCGTCTCTTCCCTAAAATTTTAAACTGAAGTTGAAGGGTAGCTGTTTAGGAGATTCAGCATTGACCACAGATAGTGTTTGACATGTTTGTGGTGCGTTTGCATGCAGGATGTTACGGTGACACGCATTCAATATGTTTAAGTAGCAACTGCTACAAGTCAGGAGATAACACGACATTGTGCTATCAGCAGCTGGACCTGTGCTACACATGTTTTTGTGGG